ATATGTAATGGGTGATTTCAACATAAACCTCCTCAAGGCTCAAACTTGCCAATATACTCAAAATTTCTTATTTACTCTTCAAAGTTATGCTTTAACACTAACAATTGACAAGCCCACTAGGGTGTATAACAATTCAACAACTTTAATTGAAAATTCAATCGTTTTCACAGTTCTGCATCAATCAACCAAACAGAAAAAAATTCGAGATTTCTCTCATTTCGATCTCAGAGTCTGGTTTTAATGATGATTTAGCACAAATTAATTGGAATTCTATAATCGCGAATAAAAGGGACAATATAGATAAACTATTCACCACTTTTTACGATAAAGTAAATAATTTAACAAACAAATATTCCCCATTAAAACTTATTTCTAAACGAATGATAAAGCAATTTTCTAAACCATGGATAACTGAAGGAATAAGAAGGTCAATTAAAATAAAAAACAAATTATATCATTCTGCGGACAGAAACAAGTACAAATTATATCGAAACAAAATAACAATCTTAACACAAATTAGCAAAAAATCTTATTTCCACGAATATTTCAATAACAACCTTACAAACATGAGAAAAACGTGGGAGGGTATAAACAACCTGATAAATCACAAGAGAAAGAACCATAAAACGATCACAGCATTAAGATGCCCAATTAAAAAGGAAATGATCAAGAATCCCAAAGATATTCCTGACATTCTAAACAAACATTTTTCAACCATTGGTAAGAAATTAGCTTCCAAATTACCCAATTCAAACACACACATTAGTCAATACCTTAATAGCCACAATTATCTCAATTCGTTCTTTTATAACCCTGTTATCCCACTCCTAACTGTGCATTTCCACTCATTGGGAAATATGTCTGTGATAATAGAATGATTAAAGATGAGGCTAAGGTGTTCGGCGATTAAATCAGGGCACTCTCCAAGTAATCTAGTGGAGATTTTGTCCAAGTCAGTTGCTTTTGACCTACTTAGTTTGGAAAAAAGTACAGAAACTGTTAAGGAATTTGTTTCTTTCAATTGAAGCATCGTATTAGTATTTAGACCAGATAAATTTATATTATCCACAAGTTTGGGGCCAATGTTAGAAAAATATTCATTAAATGCATCAGCGATTTTATTAGAATCATTAATTAAGTGACCGTTCAAATTAATTTCAGTAATTTAAGCAGTTTTTCT